TATTATGCTATAATATAGAAAGAGTACAATATTTTGAAGATAAACATTTAAAAAATCATTTAGAGAGCACCAAATGGTTACTATATAAATCAGCCATGACATTACTTAACTATTCATTTGACAAAAGTGTACTAAAACAAGTAATAAGACACAACAAAAAGTGTAGCTTCCCTTTCAAGATAAGAAAAAAATACAGACACCATTGAGTATGGAGACTTGAGAACTAAGTTCATCTCTTATTCTTAAAGGGCGGGGAACATTTATTTTATATTTCATTTGTATTTCACAGATAAATGAATCAAAAGTTATAATTGATATATCATAAAAAAATATCTTCATTGGGCACGAATCTCAAGGGAAAATCAAGTTGGAAGTTTTAGAAATTAAATTTGAGGCTATCTAAACTCCGATTTCAACGAACTTATAGTCAAACTGAATGTCTCTTAAAATATTAACCTAACAACACCAAAATCAACCCAATCCTAGCTCAAATGGGTCCAAATCAAAGATCCAAATCACATTTGGAAGGTTCAATCCATAATTTGGATTACCAAACATTTTCTAAACTTAACATGCTTATAGTCGAATCGAGCGGCTCGACGAGACGAATCCAATGAGCCCAAGATCGCCAATTTATGTAGTCATTAAGACATTCAAATGCCCAATAAATTATCTACGATCAAGGGCTTCAACATCGTCTGTCCATCCAAACCACTCACAATCTACTCTTTGATCAACCTCCTATTTACTGATCATGCCACTCTCCAAAAATTATAAATAGATCCCTCATTCCTCATGGAAAGGGACCCCGAAGCAAGGAGGGAAAGAATAGAGGAGAGGAATAGATATCTCTTTCCATAAAGTTCCTCCTCAACCACCTCATGGCTACCGACCGACGATGGACTTCCACTAATTGCCGGACTTCTACCTAACGCATTACTTCCGCCCATCGCCGGACATCTGCTTGCTGTTGGACTTCTGCCAATTGCCGGACTTTCGTAGGACTTCAACTAGACGCCAGACTTCTGCTCGTTGTCGGACTTCTGCTCGTCACCATGCATACTTTTGCCGGACTTCCATCCGTTGTCGGACTTCCGTCCATCGCTTGACTTCTACTCGTTACCGGAATTTCGTCAAATATATCGGACTTCGATCCGTCGCTGGACTTCTGCCCGTCTCCGGACTTTCGCCCAAACTTCTACCCGACGTCGGACTTACGCTCGTCATCGGACTTGTACCAGTCGCTGGACTTTTGTCGGACTTCTACCTGATGCCTGACTTACGCCAGTTGCCAGATTTCTACCCTACGTTAGACTTCTGCCCATTGCCGGACTTTCATCAGGCTTCTACCTAACATCGGACTTCCACCCGTTGCCGAATTTCTATCTGACACCGGATTTCCGCCCATCACCGTCGCCTGACTTTCGTCGGACTTCTACTCGATGTCAAACTTGTGCCGATCACCGGACCTCTATCCATCGCCGAATTTCCACCCATCATCGGGCTTCTGCCTATCATCCTATGTAAAACACCACTGGTGTGGTTTTCGTCCCCTTAGACCCCAAAGACATCATCCTATGTACCCTAAAAGGCTACTGACTACTTATCAAGTATTAAAAATGACAACCAAAACTAACCTCCAACCTCTATGCTTAGATGACTTCGAGTCTTTAACCCATTCTTATGTAGTGAGGAGAAAAACTTGGCTAATAAGGCTTTATGTGACTTCTAATAAGTTTAGCTCACCAATACATTGACATCCCCTACCACCACTAGGGGTTGAGGTCATCCCATGTCATTCTTATCGTTCCACAACAAAGGCCAATCCTCTTATAATAACTATAAAAGATCATTTGTATGTAAAGCAACAGAGCTGGTCAAACCTTCACATTACCTCTAGTCTATTAGAGTTTTCTCATTTACATCCAGCTTTCAACCAACCCTTATAATAAACATGAAAACACTAAAATTTTATTCTGCCCATACTAAGGGTCCGTTTGGGACGGTTTTTTTATTGCTTTCTAAAATGGAGTTTTAGTACAAATTTTTTTATTTTTTACTAAGGCCTCGTTTGATTAGGCTTATTTTTTTCCTTCTCCGTCTGAATAAGTAGAAATTAGTTACTCTAACTGTTTGGAATAAAAGCTTAACCATAATTCCTTTTCGTTAAACTCCATTTTTTCAGTGGTTACAAAATTTATTTTGTTTCTGCTTATTCCGTCACAAAACGGAGTTTCAAAAGCAAAATATCGAATCAAGCCCTACCAACATGACCCCCACCATAAATCTATTATTTGATAAGAAAATAATTTAATTTTCCAACATTAAATTTTTTTTTTTAAGTTGAGTTTGTTTTTTTATAGAAGAATTAATAACGAAATATTGTAAGTATAATAATAAATTAATATGATTTAAATTTTATCTTATTTGTAGTAAAATTATGTTGTATGTTAAAAAATTATGAGTTAAAAATGAAAACTTTTGATATTATAAATTAGTAGATAATTAATTTTTTTTCTTATAAAGTATATATAGGCATTGCTTACTTTTTAAATTTTCATTAAATAATGATGATTTTAATATTTTTAGGTTTATTTTATGATAAATATAATATATAAATAATCAATATGTTAATATTTATTTTTAATTAACTAAAAAAAATTAAAGTTGTAATGATGAAATTTAAAATTTTGATCAAAATATTCTCTCTCACTCAATATTTTTCTATATAATAAATAAATAAATTTTTGTATTGTATCATCTTGAAATAAATCTTATAACTAAAAAAAATTAAAATAATAAAATTGAAGTTTCTGTTGGGCAGATTTCTTTCTGTTTTATTTTTCAAATTGTGATCATAATTTTTTTATGGTTATTATTTTTGTTTTTATATCTGCTTTTTAAAAAATTACTTTTACTATTATTTTTTTTCAAGTATTTTAGTTTGTGAAAAAAAATATTTTTATTATTACAAATAAGTTTATATCGATGCCTACATGAGAACTTGTAAAAGACCTATAAAATCAACATAATTTATCTCAAAAATTATATTTTAAAATATTAATAATTATAATGAATTTTAAAGAATAATTAAGTTTTAGATTAACAAGTTATATATTATATGGATTTAAACAAAATTTAATTAATAACATTTTCATTTTGTGTTAGATTTAAATCAATAAAATTCACCCTCCTTTTATCAATAGAAATTAATAATTTATGTGAGATGTTAATATAAAATAAAGTAAAAGAGCTAGAGAAAATCATTCATTATTACGGATTGCATTTTGACATCAAAATCCTATACTTCCTGTTGCGAGCTAAAATATACGCGGCGATAGAGTTATAATTTTACGTTTTAGCGTTGCACGGATATCCAGCTCACACACAAAAAACACAATATTTTTTAAGTGAAAAACTCTAAAAAAGGGAAAAAACCACGGGGTCTAGCCCAGTTGAAAAGATTTAACTTGAATTTGAGTTGAATACAATGGGCTGACTCGTCCTTGAGGGCGATCAGATTACAAATGTCAACCGTATGGTTGAAGTTTATTATTAAACCCGACGTCACTTTGAAGTTGGGGCATTAGTTAGTAGTCCAACAGTGATTTGACAGAATTCATGCGTCAGTTGATGGTCTAACGAAGTTTTAGGGCCTCAAGTGTTGGCATGACGAAGTTCAGGCCCTTAGACGGTGGTTCGGCGAAGGAGAGTTGTCTCAGGTGGTGTTCTGGCAAAGGTGAGGCCCTAGGTGGTGGTCCGACGAAGGCGAGGGCCTCAGGTAGTAGTCCGGCGAAGGCGAGGGTCTCAGGTGGTGGTCCGACGAAGGCGAGGGCCTCACGTGGTGGTCTGGTGAAGGCGAGGGCCTCAAGTGGAGGTCCGGCGAAGGCGAGGGCCTCAGGTGGCGGTCCGACGAAGGCGAGGGCCTCAGGTGGTGGTCTGAAGAAGGTGAGGTCCTTAGGTGGTGGTCCGGCAAAACTTCGATGGTGGTCCGACGAAACTCTAACGGTGGTCGAGGAGGAGCTTCTTCATTCTCTTCCTTCTATTCTTCATTATCTTATCTTCTTCTCTTCTTATTTGGGTCCCTCTTCAATAGAAATAAGGGGTCTATTTATAGATTTTTGGAGTGGCATGACTCGTAAATATGTGAGAGATCAAGGGTAAATGGGGAGTGGTTGGATGGATGACCGATGTTGAATCCCTTGATCATGGACCGTTTGATGGACATTTGAATGTCTTAGTGATGTTGGATTTTGGGGATCTTGAGCTCGTTGGATACATCTCGTCGAGCCGCTCCATTCGACTATAAGCACGTTATGTTTGAAAATCGTTTGGTAATCTAAATTGTGGTTCAAACCTTCCAACAGCGCTTCTAACTCTTGATTTGGACCCGTTTGGGCTCGGATTGAGATGAATTTGGTGTCGTTGGGTTCATATTCTCGAGACACTCAATTCGACTATCAGTTTGTTGAAATCGAAGTTTGGATGATCCTAATTTTAATTTCAGAAGTTTCAAACTTAATTTTGCATTGAGATTCGTGCCCGATCAAAATAATTTTTTGATGACATATCACTTCCCAAAAAATAACAAACTGCATAATTATTTTTATATGGCTGGGAACAATCGGACGGTAAGTGTACTTACTTTATACATATAATATGTATAAAATTTTAATATAAATTATATACAAATTTATATAAAATATGTACAATTATATATCCAAATATTTTTTACCATTCAGACTCAGAATAATTTCTTCTCCCCTGGTGCCTTGCCCCCTCACTTTTTTTTTCTCAGTAGAATTGTTTTAAATGACCCTTCATGTCGGGAGCAATGCTGGGATATTTGCAAATAAAATCTGAATTTAATTTTTATAATTTTTTTTATAACTTTTGCTGCGCTTTAATAAGTTGTGTAAAAATATAAAGATATTAAAAAAGTTATTATAAAATGCGTACTGACAGATTCCCCCCTCCCTCCAATTGGCCAATTCCTTGCTTCTCTCTCCTCTTCATCTCTCTATCGCGCCCTTTCTCGCTCTTCTTTTCAGGAGCCCTCTCATTTTTTGCTTATAAAAATTACTTAATCCCAATCCTTCTCTCAGAGGAGACGGAGATTCTCGTCCTCTTTCCTTTGTTTGCCCGGAATCTTATCGTTGCCTTCTCTGTGTGAATGTCCCTTCCTCTCTCTGTTTCTTTGTGATGGGATTTAATGAGTTGGCGAGCGGGACGGAGCGCCGATGGCGGATTCAGAGTTTGATGAGGAGGAAGCAGGTGGATTCCGATCGGGCGAAAGCTGAGGGGGGAGGGAGCCAGCTCGCCAAGGAACTCTCCATTCTTCAACTTGTTGCCATAGGTATTGGATTGGATTCTTCTTCTGTTCATAATTTCAGTAATTGTTTCTGCGAAACTATGTTTAGGGTTCGATTTTCTTATCGTAGGGCTATGCTAGTGCGTGGTGTTTCTCATCTATTTATGATGGTTGTCGTCTTTTTTCTTTTCTGTTTTATGTGGCAATTTGGATGGGGATTTAATTTGTATCCGACGGATTTTCTTTCTTTCGGTCTTAGGTGGATATGAGTGATATTTTAAGATACTTTAGGTTATCAGGTGGTTCATCATTTTTTTAATACTTGGGCCAACTTTTAACTTCACCTTTTAGATGTCAAATAGAAGAAAATGTGTAGATCTAGAGTTCTAGAATGATTGAAAAGAAAGAAATATTTGCATTTGGGTCTGATTAATCAACATAGTTTTTTTTTTTTTATAAAATTTTTCTGAAATTGAAAGGCTCTATTTAGAAGCAAAGAAAGTTTACTGAAAGAATTTTCTCTTTCTTCCTTGTCATTCAGTAAGAGCTTGCCATTGAGTAATTAGTGGCAATCCTTCTTGAATAAGCTTGAACCTGATCGTTCTTATTGGCTTTCGTGTTTCAGTGTAGTTTCGGTATTATCTGCTTGTTTTCATTTAGTCGCATCTGGGGAAAGGCTCTGAGGTAGCTCTAGGTTACTAGAATCAATTTATGGGACTAGTGATATAATCTTGTTCTAGTATTTGTTATTTTTTTTTTCTTCTAAAAAACTAGATCTAAACATCAGTTTCAATGAAATAGAAACCATTATTGAAGCTGATCTTGGCATTTGGCAACCCAATTTCTTTTTGAATCAGTGATGAAATCACCATTAGAATATCTTAGCAGTAGCCTGATGGTTAAGGCAAATTAATTCACACAAATTAATATGACACGTTAGCTGCATATGATCAGTGAGTGCACCAACTTAAGTGTATGTTTGTCTGAGAGACTAGCAATATTTTTTTGTTAAGTACATAAGAAACACTGTACGAAAATACACTTTATTAGATTAAAGAATACCAATTCATTAGAGCCGGCCTATCAAATCTTGGAACTAAAGAAAATTTCAAGTCTATCCTTTTAAAAAATTTTAAATCATCTAGTAGTATTGTGAATGATATAAAGGTTAGAAAATGCCAACTTCTCAAAATATTTTGGAGCCAATTGCTATTGAACGTGAGAACAAAATGTTAGCTCAAAATTAATATTCAACTATTTTCAAATAATTATTCTTGATTATTATCCCTTTTTCACCGAGGTTGTAACAACCTAAATTATTAAATATCGAGATATTGTTCGCTTTGGCCTAATGGCCTCACGGTTTTGTCCAGTTGGTGTAACTTCCCAGGAAGGATTGCTCCTGCACGAGCATGTTTAACTTTGGAGTTCCTTAATGAAATTCCAACCATTTCACCAATAGGCATCTTGATATTCTAAGAGTTTAGCTTTATTTTTTAGGGATTTTCACAATCTCCTCCACTTTGATAACTGACGTTCTCTTCAAATTTTTAAGCCCATAATCATTCATTAGGCAGATTGGAGCACTAAGTTCCTATCTTCCAGATGGTTTATTGCCCTGATGCCATTTTGTAAGACCCTAAACTCTTAACTATCGAAATTTTATCCACTTTGGCCGAATGAACTCGCGATTTTGTCCTGTTGTTGCAACTTCCTAAGAAGTCACCCATCCCAGGATTGCTCCTGCACAAGCATACTTAACTTTGGAGTTTCTTAATGAAATTCTAACAATTTCACCAAAAAGGCGTCTCGATATTTTAAGAATTTTTTTTTTGAGGGGGTTTCACAATCTCGTATAGTTGCTTCATGTGCTCAAATTTATGCGTGCTAAAAATTACTTTTTCTTTTATCATTATCTACTCTGAACTTACGATGAGGTTAATGGTTATGATGGTGTTCTACTGGCATCATTGAGTTAATTACATGTTGGAAACCTCATCTATCAAATAAATTCAGTGCTTACTCGGTCATCAATATGATTTTTCCCATCCATCCTAGTTTGTTCAATTGCAAAATCAAAGATAAGCCTGACCATAATTACTTAACATTTAGGGTGGGAAGTTTTGATGAGTCATGACTAGAATGTCCTAAAAGAAACACCATTAACAATCTCATGTATAAACTGCATAGAAGTTTCACTTTTTTGTTAATAGTGAGGGGGTAAACATTTTGGAAAATGCTTAACAATTCTGAAATATACATGTGAGGGACACTAGATGTAACAGTTTATAATGTAAGTTGTGTGACCAATTCTAAGTCAAACAGAGGAGGGATCTGAAGAGAAGAGGCAGATTTTTGTTCTTCTTTTTCAAGAGTTAATTTGGATAGGGGTTTAATCAGTGGCTGAAGGAATTACTCTTGTTCTTTTGTTCATAATGGAGTGGTTTTTGGAGGTACTTCAGGTGATAACATCTATAATTCATGTGTTCTTCCTTTTATTCTATTTGTCAGTCACCTCATGAATTGACCTTATGATTTCAAAGCAAAGTAAATGAATGGATCTATAACTCTGTAATGCACAAAAAAGATGACCAACTCCGACTAATTCAACAGTTATTGTTTTTTTTTTTTTCATTTTTATTTAAAATTAAGCGCATAGGCCTCTTAACATATTGTCAAACTTAAAAGTTTACTGAAAGATGATTACTGTTAGAATTCATAGAATTTGAGAAAGGTAAAAATACCTTCTACTTATTATACAAAATTATCCCTATTTATAGATCTATACAAGATGTCTTGATAAAGAAATAAATAACGTCTAATTGATACATAATTGCCTCAATATAATCCTTCCTAATTCAGCTACCCAAATATAGAAGGATATTGGTGTGATCCAAGTGAGCCTCCCACTGATTCTCATCCTGACCGTGGGATCAAATGCCAAGGGATGATTGAGATTTTGACAATTCCCTTTCTTGCTTTAGTTCAAATGAGCTTGCCATTGTATAATTCAGTGGGAATCTCTCTCTAATAAGCTTTCACGGCCCTTTGGTTAAGTGCTATTGTCTCCACCCACCCACCCAAGCGCCACAAAAAAAAAAAGGGTTAATTGATTCTCTAGGTGGCCTTTACTTAGTACAGCCAGTTTAAGCATCTCTTAATTAGTAGAACCAGTTGATCTGGCTAGTTATATATTCTTCTTCAACTATATATTATTATTGAAAAAGCTAGATGCTAACATCAACTTCCAATCTAAGCGAATTATGATCTAAAGTCATACCAATAATGTCCTCTTTATACTTTTCAGTGTGATATAGAAAAAAAAGCATCTTCAAGGTTCCAATTGAAATCAAAACCATTAGCACGATCTTAGTATTTGCTAATCAAATTTCTTCCTAAAAATTGATTGAAAATGCTATCAAAATTTAGCTTGGTAGATGCGAGGGTTAATGCTTTTTATACAACAACAATAACAACAATATTAAGCTTTTATCCCACTACGTGGGTTTGGCTACTTGAATCCTTTTTCTCCATTGTCCTATTAAGAGTCAATTAGTCAAATTCTCATTTAAATCTAATAAATTAAAGGTCATTTTTAATATTTTTTAATCAAGTCTTTTTAGGTCTACCTCTACCTTTCTTAATATAGGCCAAATACAATACATCTACTCTCCTAATTGGGTCATCGGAAGGCCAACCCCGTTGATGCTTTATATAAATGCAGTAAAAAATCAACCTTTCTCACCAAGAGTTCCTAAGGTTTATTATATTCTGCTACCTGCTGTTTGTTTTATAGGTTTTCAACAGTTACTTCTGCTTTGTCATTGTTTACTACTTTACTAGCATCACTATGATGGTTACATGTTTGAACACACCTCTACAAAATAATTTCAACATTTTTCCAATCATTAATATGATATTTCCTATCCTTTCTAATGCGTGTGGCAGCAAACCAAATTTAAGCTTGACTACATGTACCATTCATTAGTCATGCTACCAATCCCTGCAAGAGACTTGTAGCAATTTCATGTATGAATTTGTAAATATTTCACACATATAAAATGGAGGATATGCAGTAAAATGTAATGAACTAAGAGGATGCTACATGATGCGTGCAAAAAAAAAGACCCTAGTATTTAAAGATCAAAGAAAGTACTCAAAATTGCCGTAATGATAGATGAGTGCAATTTTTTTTAGATTTAATATAAAACCATGAGAGGGAGTAATGTCATATAGAATTAAAGAAATAACAAGTTACTTGAGGATTGGTTTATCATGATCGGAAGATCTGTTATGGAAGTTATATATGTGCTAAGACAATTAATGAAAAAATATAGGTAACATAAAAGGTATTGATGACTAAAACCTTGAAAATAACTATAGAAGATTTTTAGCATCAGTTTAAATCTTTGTTCATGGACAGAAGGATCTCAAACAAACTCTGTCAGAAGCAAATACTTTATTTTCTTCACATGCAGGAAGGCATATGATATGAAGTGGTTGCAGAAAGCCAATTCCCCTTGGCTAAAATTGAATTTTAGCAATCCAAATATAATATCCAAGGCTATTTGTAGAAAGATAATGGAAGAAAACTCTTTTTAATTGATGAAATAGGGAAGAAAACGAAGCAGATTCAATGGATCCTCAATTGGATCTCTAGCCAACGGTTAGAGATCAAAATTCCTAAGAAAACCTAAATTTCAGCAAACACCAAATAAAATCTAACCCTAGGTTAAACCTTATATTTAAAGCATACAAAATATAATTAATGTCAAAATATCTTTCATAGTTTGAATTTCCCTCATAATCCCCTCTTTAAGTTCCTCTTAATTGTTGGCCTTAATTGTTGCTGGATTGCGAGGCTCCACCTCCATTAAACAGATGCTTGTTCTGCCTAAATAGGCGAAAGGCTGTTCCGCCAAATAGGCGGAAACCTAAAGCAATACCCCCTCTCAATAACCCACATTGTCTGCAAGGTGGAAAGACGATTCCTTCCTCAACTTCTTCGTCATCACAAACAGTGACAACCTGAGGAGTTTAGTCCT